GCTCTCGCTGGTGCGTGCAAGAGCCATCTTACCACATTGGGTGCCCAGCATTCTTCCAGGTGGTCTCGGCCATCATTCTCAAACCCCACCCTCCTGCCTGGTGAGAAACTGGCTCTCCCTCTGGGTGCCTCTGCCCTAGGTGCGTGGCCCAGGTACATGGATCTGGGCACACCGTCTGGATGTGGTCTCAGTCTGTGTAGATGTTGAGGACCGCCCAGGACAACCTCACCCTAGGAGTGGAGAGGCAATTGCTGGCGTGGATGAAATGTTTGCCAGGTGCTGGGCTTAAGGGGGACTTTACATAGATCCATGTCCCCAAGTCCTTTGAAGTGCTACTGTTAGGTGCCTAGATTGCAGGTGAAGAAACAGGCACTGGTGGCTAGGTAGCATGCCCGAGGTCTGCGGACTGGTGAGCAGTAGGGCCAGGTTATAGATTCGGGGCATCCCAGCAGCACTCACACAGACAATGCCTAACAGGAAGGCAGTGCTCTGTCGGTGTGGGGGCACGTTCTTAGCTCACTGTCCAAGGGGACACTGTTGTTGGTAGTTAGCACAGAGTTGGAGCCAACTCCTGGCCACCCACCCATGTTACAGAGTAGAGCTGCGCCCTCTCGGGAGCAGATCACCAAGCCTGTATTCTAAGGCGTCTCTGGATGGGTCCCCAAAGGCTTACCAGTTTGCACCACCGATTGGCTCCCCAAACCTCCCCAGTACCTAACATAATAGTGAAGCCTAGCTTTCTCTCACACTGATGACGGCTCAGAAAACCCCATGGGGCAGCTCTGCCCAGCCACATGAGGTTGCTATGCTCTGGGATGGAGCCCTCAGCACCCACTTTCTGGTGTGACCCTCAAAACAAACCCTGCTAGGACTTGGTAAATTTGTGCTTCCCCTGCTACAGAGGAGGAAATGAAGGCCCCCACGGGATTAGCCTCACACACATGTTCATGGCAGAATTAGGAGGCAGATAGCAAAGCCAACTGCCACCTAGAGAGAGGACTGGGCAATTTTTCTGTCGCTGAGCCCCCTAGTCCTAGAC